CCACCCGGTTCCCCACCCGGATGGTCCGGTTCCCCACCCCAGATCCCGGTCGATCCGGTTCCCGACCCGGGTGATCCGGTTCCCCGTCCGGATCACTACCCGTTTGGTCCGGTTTCCCACCCGGTACCGCACCCGGTTGGTCCGGTTGGTCCGCTTCCCCACCCGGACCACCCGGATCATCCGGTTCCCCGTCCGGATGGTCCGGTTGACCCGGCTCCCGACCCGGAACCGCACCGGGTTCCCCACCCGGTTGGTCCGATTTCCCACCCGGTCGATTCGGCTCCCCACCCGGACGGTCCGATTGGTCCGGTTCCCCAACCGGATGGTCGGGTTGATCCGGTTCCCGACCCGGTTCCCCACCCGGATGGTCCGGTTGGTCCGGTTCCCCACCCGGTTGGTCCGATTTCCCACCCGGTCGATTCGGCTCCCCACCCGGACGGTCCGATTGGTCCGGTTCCCCAACCGGATGGTCGGGTTGATCCGGTTCCCGACCCGGTTCCCCACCCGGATGGTCCGGTTGGTCCGGTTCCCCACCCGGTTGGTCCGATTTCCCACCCGGTCGATTCGGCTCCCCACCCGGACGGTCCGATTGGTCCGGTTCCCCAACCGGATGGTCGGGTTGATCCGGTTCCCGACCCGGTTCCCCACCCGGATGGTCCGGTTGGTCCGGTTCCCCACCCGGTTGGTCCGATTTCCCACCCGGTCGATTCGGCTCCCCACCCGGACGGTCCGATTGGTCCGGTTCCCCAACCGGATGGTCGGGTTGATCCGGTTCCCGACCCGGTTCCCCACCCGGATGGTCCGGTTGGTCCGGTTCCCCACCCGGTTGGTCCGATTTCCCACCCGGTCGATTCGGCTCCCCACCCGGACGGTCCGATTGGTCCGGCTCCCCAACCGGATGGTCGGGTTGATCCGGTTCCCGACCCGGTTCCCCACCCGGATGGTCCGGTTGGTCCGGTTCCCCACCCGGATGACCCGGTCGATCCGGATCCCCACCCGGATGACCCGGATGGTCCGGTTCCCCGCCCGGTACCCTACCCGGCTGGTCCGTTTCCCCACCCGGTTCCCCATCGGGCTTGCCCGGCTGATCCGGTTCCCCACCCGGATCACCCGGTCGATCCAATTCCCCATACGGATGACCCGGATGATCCGGCTTCCCGTCCGGTTCCCTGTCCGGTTGGTCCGGTTCCCCACCCGGTACCCCAACCGGATGGTCCGGTTGATCCGGTTCTCCACCCGGATGACCCGGATGATCCGGTTCCCCATCCGGATGACCCGGATGATCCGGTTCCCAGTCCGGTTCCTGACCCGGTACCCCACCCGGATGGTCCGGCCGGGTCCGGTTCCCCACCCGGATGGTCCGGTCGGTCCGGTTGGTCCGGTTTCCCACCCGGTCGATCCGGTTCCCCACCCGGATGACCCGGTTGATCCGGTTCCCCACCCGGATGACCCGGTTGATCCGGCTCCCCACCCGGATGGTCCGGTCGGTCCGGTTCCCGACCCGGCACCCCACCCGGATGGTCCGGTTGGGTCCGGTCCCCCACGGGGATGGTACGGTTGAGTCCGGTTCTCCACCCGGATGGTCCTGTCGATCCGGTTCCCGACCCGGATGATCCGGATGATCCGGTTCCCCATCCGGATGGTCCGGTCGATCCGGTTCCCGACCCGGATGACCCGGATGATCCGGTTCCGCGTGCGGATGGTCCGGTCGACCCGGTTCCCCACCCGGATGATCCGGTTGGTCCGGTTCCCGACCCGGATGACCCGGTTTCCCATCCGGATGGTCCGGTCGATCCGGTTCCCCACCCGGATGACCCGGACGATCCGGTTCTCCACCCGGATGACCCGGACGATCCGATTTGGCCTCGCTTTTCGGCTCCGAGACCCCTAGAATCCCTAGAATTGGGCTGAAAAAACGCTGGGGTTCCCCTGCCTTATGTCCTTATGTCCTTAGTTCCGTCTTCGTCGAGTCAGTCGTCGTCCGTCTAGACCGTTTTGATGGATTTATAAAGAAGGTGTCCCCTTCTATATACATCCATCGGGGGGCCCGGGGCACGCCCATCGGAAGGGAGGATCTCCTTCGATCCTTGGCCCTTCCAGTGTGCGAGCCCTGCGGCCCACCCACCTGAAGAGAGAGGGAGCGACCCTCACCCTTCTAACAGGCCGGCCAACAACGATCCAGCCAAACCAACCAACCAGCCCCGAGAGGGCTCTGCCTACCCTCGATTTCCCATCCCCTCTCACTCTCTCTCTCACGTATCCCTCCTTCCATTGCCAACGCAGGGATGCGGACCCCTGTTGTCCTCTAAAAGGGGAAAGGGAAGACAACAAGGGCCCGCCCGATGCCCTTCTCCGCGGGCATCGGACGCCCCCCCATGCCCCACCCCGGCGTTCAGGGTGGGAGGGGGGAAGAGAGGGGGGGGTGGGTCAAGAACAAGGGCTGAATCTCAGCGGATCGTAGCAGCAAGGCTACTCTGCCGCGTACAATACCCCGTTCGGT